GACGCCTCTATTTGGACGCGTTTGCATTTGAGTTTAGACGCCCCCGACGCGCGTCTTTGACGCCGTGAACAAACGGGACAAAAATACTTGACGCGCGTCCGTTGCCCTGGAAACAAAAGCCCGGTCCCGGTCTTTTCCCGAAACAATATCAGACCAGACTGAGAGAGTGTTTTTATGACATAAAACATCAGCGGAGATCGGGTCGACGACTGGGGCGTATATATATTTATACTCCGCTAATGATAATAATGTGGCCGTGACAGGTCACCGAAAAAACAGGAAATGAAGGCGTTATTCTCCGGCGTGCTACGGGCGAAACCGTAAGGAGTATCCCAAAAAAATTTGGCAACTTCTGTGAGTTCATGTCTGTAGATGTGACATGTCAAATTTGAGCTCATTTGGACCAAACCCCGGGGACTTGAATCTTTTTGTAGACCCCCAAGTCAAAACGGCGGCGAATGTTTGATCCAATATGGCCGACTTCCTGTTCGTCATAGGGGTGCACAATTATTGACTTTTTTGCTTGTAATCATGCGTAGAATTTAATCCCCAAATTTGGTGCTAATCTGATAATGTTGACATTTCATGTCAATGGTAGGGGGCGCTATAGTGTTCACTTTTAATATGTTTTATACTGTTTTATATTCAGGCTGAGATCACACATTAGTGATTCAAATTTCAGCACGATCCGATTAAACATGGGCATGTAATCATTTTTTTACTATTTTTGGGGGGAGTCTTTGCGCCCCTGCTGGCCAGTGGTGGAAAATGCATCATGTCCGTAATAGACTTTTTTGCTTGTAATCATGTCTAAAATTTAATCCTCGAATTTGGTACTAATCCGATAATGTTGATGTTTGTCAATGCTAGGGGGCGCTATAGAGTTCATTTTTCATATGTTTTATAGTGTATTATGTTCAGGCCATGATCAGGCATTAATGATTCAAATTTCAGCACAATCGGACTAAGCCTGTGGGTGTAATTATTTTTTAACAATTTTTTGGGGGAGTCTTTGCGCCCCTGCTGGCCAGTAGTGGAAAATGCATCATGTCCGTAATAGACTTTTTTGCTTGTAATCATACATAGAATTTATGTCCCGAATTTGGTACTAATCCGATAATGTTGACATTTCACATCTATGGTAGGGGGCGCTATAGAGTTCACTTTTATTAAATTTCATATTTCATCACATTCAGGCCTGGATCACGCAATTGTGATTTGAATTTGAGTTCCCTAGGACAATGCCTGTGGCCGTGACAGGTCACCGAAAAAACAGGAAATGAAGGCGTTATTCGCCGGCGTGCTACGGGCGAACTGTAAGGAGTATCCCAAAAACATGGACGATTTGAGTGAAGCTATGTCTGTAGATGTGACATGTAAAATCTGAACTCATTTGGACCATTCCCTCCGTTACCGACATGAGTTTTTAAATTTTTTGTCAACAACTTGAAAGAATATCACAGGTTTAACTTTACCCTGTTGGAGTGTAACTCTTTCCTACATTCTGATACTTTACTTATTTCAATAGTCCCTCTAGTTTCTGAATGAGAACTATTTGAATGTCAAAAATCTACCCGTTTCCCTCCGTTACCGCTTGACCGGACCCCAGTGTATCGGCAGTAACCGATCTATCCGAACTATTTAATGTCAACAAACATCGTTAGTCATTAATGATTCATTTATGTTTAGGTAAACCACAAACAACAATTTAGCTTTGTAACAAACCTTTGACGAAGTGTTCACTGCAGACACAAGCATTTGCGGATTCTGCTCCTCCCGACCGCAAACGTAGGTTTGTAATAGAGCCCGACCGATATATCGGTTGGCCGATATTATCGGCTGATATGGGCAACTTTAGGCATATCGGCTATCGGCCGATATGCTTGCTGATAGGGGCCGATATTTCACATGGGCATGTTATACCTCGTTATAAAGCTTAGAGTCTAAGCCTTAGACTCTCTACATTCTGTTCATTTAATCCAATTTACAGACAGATAAATGTCCTAATATGTGGCTCCACATCAGTATTTATCTACGGAGTCATTTGTCTGTGTGTGTCCGTACTGTCCCTGAACACACCACAGAGTCGTCTCTCACATGTGTTTGTTTACACCTGCAGACACAGATCCAAACACTGAGATTATATTCTTTTTACGGACAATCGGTTTGAGTCTGGATTAAAAGGACATTTATTAGTGCAGAATTTGTGATGTGAGGAGGAGCCTGTATGAGCGGTGAGTGTTGGAAATATGTCGACTCTGAAGCTAGTTTTTGTCATTTGTTATGGGTTAGCTGCTGTAGCTCCCGCACATAAACAGACTGTTTTCTATTGGTCTGTTCTAAAGTGACTATATTGGCCGTATATTTGCTACTGGACCTGCACTGATATGTAAATGAGCTGTGAACAGACGTGTGAATTATGACATTTGCGCATATAATTAATTACCGCGGCGCGCACGTATTTACGGCTAAAGGCTAATAGCGCTACTTTCTTTACTAGTTATGGGTCCGTCGCGAACGAAATGACTCTTAGATCCGGCTCTTTTGAAGGGAACGACGGGAGCCTGATCCTTATTGGGAGCCGTGTTTTCTCTTTCTCTCACTTTTTTTCTCTTCACGCCGCGTGATTCGTGGTTTGACAGCGGCAGCGGCTAAAAACGAAACTTTGAGAAATTTGCGTGTACGTAGGATTAAAGAAAAAAAACAAAACAAAAAAACGAGCATATTTGACTGTAGTTTAGCATAAAATAAATAAGTCCCGGTTTAGTCCTTTTTCAGTCCTGGTTTAGACCTGTTTCAGTCCTGATTCAGTCCTGCTTGCAACAAAACAATCTGAAGAGCCACTTGGGAGCCAAAAGAACCAGCAGCTTTTAGTGAGCCGAGCCAAAAAGAGCCGGTTCTCTAAAAAGAACTGGAATACCCATCACTAGTGTCTAGAATGTGATGCAAAAATGCCATTAAGCCAACCTACTGTCTGTAAATATGATGTAAAGAGGCAGAATAACAATAAATGTTGCCTAAATAAACCCAATTTAAAATCCACCAGAGCCAAACCTAAGTTTTTTAAACAATTCAACATTTACAGTGAATTTTTACATCACTAAATATATCGGTGATTATATCGGCAGCGCCAACTCCCATTATATCGGTTTCATATCGGCCACAGCAAAATCCATATCGGTCGGGCTCTAGTTTGTAATCCACTTTTTATGGCGTTGTTCTGTCAGCTTTTCCCATTTCTGACCTTTGTGGACGACTATCTTCGGTACTCTAAAAAAAATCGCTTTTCCTTCTCTCGGTTAGAACAATTGGCACAGCCGTAAACTGCACAACACATCGGCATTTCCCTCCAGTCGGTTCACTTCTTGCCCTCCATCTGATTTTGCGCGCTGACAAACGTCGCCCTGTAATGTCACATGAAACCCAGATATTCAGAATTATTATTTCCATGTAAACTCCAAGGAAAATATTTTAAGTCCAAACTATTTAATCCAGAACAATTAAAAAACATCATGTGAACGTGGCCATTGTGTTCTAACAGTGAGTTTTTTAATCATTTCAATACCAGGTTTAACATTTGTGCGTTTACCTTTTGGATATTTCGTGGCAAAGTACAGTGTGATAAAGAGTAGAGGGGTGTGCAAAAATATTGAAATATCGATATATATCGTATCGTTTAATGTGATGACACAGTATCGATATTGTGGGCTGCTCTATCGATATATCACCAAGAGTATTTTTGGTTTATTTTACTAAATGATTTTGTTACAGCTACAGTTTCGTTGTTTGTTTAGTGGAAGGAAACTCGTTTGACATTTTCGCTGTTTTGAGGATTAAAATGTTTGTGTTTCATATGAACTTTGCACAAGAAGTGGTTTAACAAAGATTTTCCATGATTTAGCCTTTATTTTTTACTGAACCGTATCGAATCGAAAGCGCACTGTATCGAGGTTTGTCTCAAATCAGTGACTTCTTAACAACACTCGGCCTCATTCAACAGGGAAACGTGGCTCTTGCCCCGTCTGGGAGTATGACATCATCACATTCTAGAACCTGAAAACCTCCCAGTTCCATGAGGTTCACGGCGCCGATGACATCATACATGTAAAGTTCCATAAAGCCTTGTCCGAATCCAATAATGTTGACGTTTCATGTCTATGGTAGGGGGCCCTATAGAGTTAATTTTTCATATGTTTTATAGTGTATTATATTCTGGCCGTGATCAGGCATTAGTGATTCAAATTTCAGCACGATCGGACTAAGCCTGTGTGTGTAATTATTTTTTAACTATTTTTTGGGGGAGTCTTTGCGCCCCTGCTAGCCAATAGTGGAAAATGCATCATGTCCGTAATAGACTTTTTTGCTTGTAATCATACATAGAATTTATGTACCGAATTTGGTACTAATCCGATAATGTTGACGTTTCACGTCTATGCTAGGGGGCGCTATAGAGTTCACTTTGCCTGTCCCCACTCCCATAGGGGTCCAATTCTAGGCGGCGCTGTTGAGTCGGGTCACTCGGGTCATTGTTGCGATGCCCATTTTATCGAATTTTTCGCCGGGCCGATCGATCTGGACCCCGGTTTGGGGACTTTTCGTCGATGTTCAGGGGGTCAAAAATGCGATTCAATGTGGGGAAAAAGAAAAAAAAAAAAAAGAAACCGACGAAGAACAATACCCCTCGCCCCTAACTTTGTTAGTGGCGAGGGCCAATAAAAAAAAATTACAACAAATCTGCATTTTAACAACATTAATGTCACTGGAATCCCTGAAATTAAAAATGAATGGCTCATAGAATGTGTAATGTAATAATGTCATGCTTACAGAAACGGATTTTGCACTTAAATATCTAAAAAGTACATTCATAAATGTTGAGCCATATCCTAGAACTCAATCTTTTACAAAAAAAAAAAAAAAAAAAAAAAAAATCGCTAGGTTTTATTTTGAAATGGCAACAGGAAGCGTCTTGTTGCACGAATATTTGACATGTTCTTGACGCTTTTGTAGGCGCAGCAGCAGAAGTGTAGAGGAGGAGGAGAGGCAGGCGAGACTTCAGCTCACTGTTTGTGGTTCACGCTTATATAATTTCACTTTTGTCGGCTGCTTTGGTTAAATCCACCGTTTCTGCTGCTGATTACCGACTGTTTGAACCGGGGATGGCCGAACCGAGCGCCAGATATCAGCAGGTACGTTCACAATCATGTTTGTTTGGGGGTTTTTTTTGACGTTTTTTTTTTGCGTCTGGGCTCGTTACGCCTTAACGTAACATGCTAATTAGCAACAGAGCTAACACCGAGCCATAAACTCACCGGTTTCAAATTGTCCACAGAAAGTAGAACATCTTTTAACATTTACAATAAATGTAATTGCGTTTGAGTTTTTACTGATGGACATTTGTAGGCCCTCTCTGTTTTAAACGTTCTCCATAATAAACATGAAGTAGTAGTTAGCTGCACTTCCATAACCAGATTAAAAACAATAATCTTTAGCATTGATTAGCTATCTGAAGCTCACATTTACATTATTTATTTGTTTATTTTATGAATTGACAATTGAGTAACCAACCAAAACGATAGGCTAAATGACGATATTGCATCCATTTTATATTAAGGTGACCAGACGTCCCTGTTTACCCGGGACAGTCCCAGTTTTGAGCCCTCTGTCCCTTTTCCCAGCAGATTTAAACAAAACCATTGATTTATCCCAGTTTTATACAATAAATGTCCCAGGTGGTCCTATTTTTGACAAATTTGATACCAACAGTAAAGAGAGGCATACATTGTAATTTGTTTTGGTAAAATAAAGAAAAGCTGCTTAAAATGACCAAAACACAAAGAAAATGTGATTATACTGACTTAGATGTTAGTTATAAATGGTCTCTGCTTGACAATTTTCCTTAATTAGGCACTCATTTCACAATTTTATTATTACCAATTATAAAAAAAACTGGAAATGTCCCATTTTTAAATTTTAAATTCTGACCACCCTATTTTATATGCATTTCTGTAATCAATGTTCTATATGTGTGTTAATATAACTTTTTATCTTATTTTGCATGTAGATAAGTTAAGTTATGGTACTCTGTAGTTACATTCATTGATCATCTCTATTTGTGGGTCATAATGCTGTGAGGTGACACTGCTAAGGAACTCAACTCATATGTAAAGTGGACAAAGGGCATGAGAAAATGTAATCATCTCGTCCTTCTGGTTTGATGATTTGCCTCCAGTATAGGGTGACCAGATGTCCCTATTTACCCGGGACAGTCCCAGTTATGAGCCCTGTTTCCCCTGTCTCAGCAGATTTATCAAAGACCATTGATTTGTCCCAGTTTTATACAAGAAATGGCCCAGGTGTCCCTTTGTTTGATCAGTTTAATGCCCAACAACAGTAAAGAGGAGAATATTGTAATTTGTTTAGCTAAAATACTGAAAACTGTGCTTGAAAATAACCATAAGGTAAAGAAATGCACTCTGTTACACAGACAGAAATCCCACACTTGATGGACAATTTTACATGCTCTTTTCACAATTCTATGTATACCAACCATCCCAACCCAGGTACGTCCTAGTTTAGAATGTTGAAAAGCTGGTCACCCTACTCCAGCGATTTTCCAAATGACTTATACTTTGACATGAAATGCAGTGGTTTTCCCTCATTTCAATTATTCACCATGTAGCCTTGTTCTCTGAAAGGGACTGTTCTTTTGTCTCTGTCACATATCACGGGGAAGTTACTGTAAGAAAAGTGCCACCTCAGCTATTAATAGGATTTAGTGTGTTAATCATACTCATAAATTATGCATTTCCTGTGCTTACCAAAGACTATTAAAAGCATTCTTGCAGTTATGTTTTTCATAGCAGCTAAACCCTTTTTTATTTTTATTTTTTAATTTATTTGTTCATTAACAATTTATGTGTTTGGTCTTTGTAAAAGGAGGCTGGTGGTGAGGCAGCCATTTGAATAACACTTACGGAAGCGTGGCTGTTTTGAACCAAACCTTAATTGCTTTCATTTTTTGAGAGTATAATCTGCCTGCTATCGTTCTGCTATTGGTGATAACCTTAACTCATTATGGGCACCTTTTTAGTATTGCATTGTGTAGCTGTTTGCTCAGAGGGTGTATTGCTAATAAATAACAGTGCAATAGTACAGTTGTTGTAGTCAGTGGTTTAATAATTTCATTGAATTATAGTGGTTGCATTAAAATGTCACATATTCCCTTTTATTTTTGGACAAAAGGTAAAATTGGTTTAATTCCTAAATATCTTTTGGCTTGTTTTCAGGAGAATTAGAGGTATGTTCAGTGCCCATAGTTCTAATGATATAAAACTGATTGAACTTCTCTGCTGTGGAAATGTTTGTGGAAGTGAAACATCCTAAACCAGCACATTTTTGTATATGAGGTAAAGACCGTGCACATTATGTACAAATGATGTGCATTTCGGTTTATTTTTGTTGTGCAGCTGCCGAACGAAGAGGACCCAGATGAGCGGCCACAGGCTGCAGCTGACGCTCCTCCTCCATACAGCACCGTCGCAGAAGACAACGCAGGTTAGACATGGACTCATGCTCCTGGGGAGCTTGGTGATATCTAAGTGGAAAGGGTGTGGTGGTACTGAGAATTGGTTGTATTGTGTTTGCGCACACATGGGTTGAGTTACACATATTACAAGGGCTGCACAATATATTTCATGGCGTGTCCTGACTTTCTCTTTCATCTTGGGCATAGTTTGTTTGACTTGGCATTTATCAATGTCATTATTTATTTTATTTTAGGAAGGTGCATTATAGTTAAAGCCCTTTTGGCTTATATTGAAATGAAAGTCTTACAGATGGCAACAGTCCCTTTTGCAGGATAAAAGATACATTTTTAGCAACAACTTGAGTGCACACAGCATTGAAAAATATAGCTTACACTTTCATAGCCTAAATTATTATTTCAAATTTGCTCAATAATTTAATTTAAAAAAAATCTTTTACTGGGTTACAATCAGTATAGTCATAATTATTATTTTATTATCTGAACATCACCTAATGACAACTCTTGATGTGTGCCATATTAAAGTCTTATTGTACAACACCAAGAGCAATAAAAAAGTAACTACCAACTTATTATGAACCTCTTTCACCTGCATCATTTATTCAAGCTTGTTTTGCCTTGAGTTTTTCACATTATCTTGTACCTTGCTTAACCTTTCTTTCTTGTTCTTTCTGTAGCGTTCTTTCAGTACAAGGATGATGGGAGTTTCCCAAAGCCTCCCTCCTACAACGTGGCCACTTCTCTGCCATCGTACGATGAGGCCGAGCGCTCCAAGGCGGAGACCACCGTTCCCTTGGTAACAGCCAGAGTAAGTCTGTCCCTAAGGCTGTATAAGATATCTTTACACTATCTTAATACTGGCTGATGCAATATATAAAGCATGTACTAAATGTATGGCCATTACCCTGAAGCCTTAATTACCAGTGATTTACTGCTGATTCTTTATCAAACGTCTTAAAATGTTCCCTATGTTTACCATAAGCCTTAATTTAGGTTCTGACCCATTTTTGGTCTTATCTATTGGATTTTAACGTTTTAACATTAGAAATACAGGGCTTCATATTTGCCTTGACACAGGAAAGTCTCTGCCTTAAATGAGCACAAACTTTTCTAGTGGAGAGGTTCAACACTCTGGCTTGTCTCCAGGGAGATGATGCTTTGTCCAACATGTTAGAGTGTTCCACAGTAAGTCAGGTTTATCTATAGAGGTTATACAGATTACCTCACAACACTGAGAACTTTTACCATGACTGTCAAATTCCAGTCATTTTCTTCTGTAAAAGCTCAAAACAGATATAAAATGTGAAAGAGCTGCTACAGTTTAATAAAAAATATAAAAGTCTACAACTCTAGACTTTTATATTCACTAAATATATAGTCTGACATCTAAAACAGGAACATCAAGTAAACAATAGTGGAAAGCCAGTGAACAGCTGGCTAACCAACGGAGACACTGCAAAGTACAGGCCTATTTATCACTGATACAGACTTTGGATCAGGCACAGTTTGTGTGTGTTGAGATTAAGACCTTTTTCTCTGCCTATCATTAGCTAACAAGCTATCTTAGATCTGCACAGTCACAGCAACAACAGAGCAAAGCAAAGAAACACATTTTGTCTGTTATGTAGTCCATGTTTCAGAATGATGCGAGGCATTTTTCAAATAAAATGACGTCAGTGCATAACCTCTATTGTAACAAACTCACCTGTAATGGGTTAACCGTTATGGGTGTGTTTGGTGCAAAAAACCCAAAACAATAACTTTGAAAGCATGTTTTTATAAAGGGAGTGAAACGTGAAATTGGCCTATTGGCATCATCTCCAGAAAAATGTTAGTGCACCTTGTAATTGGATTCTTTTCCACCAATTCTAATAGGGATGGGCCTATATGATTTTTTTTTTAGCTGAAATGTGATATTTGGCCTGCTGCTGATAAAAAATATTTTAACTTTAGTAAAAATAATGACAATGTATTAATCTGTAAATAGTTACATGTTTGTGTAAACATACAGTCATGTAACAACGTTATATTTCTTATTTTTACCCATCCCAACAATCAACAACACAATAATAGTAATGTCACCAATACTGCAGCTGTTTTGTGTGTATAATTCTGTGGTTTTCGTCAGGCTTTGTGCACTCAGCTGAATCTGGCTGCAGTGTTGAGCCTCTCTCTTTGACAGGAAGTGCAGTAATGTATTTAGTTGTCACTTATCTAGTGTAAAGCACGTGTTGTATTTCCTGTGTTAAATATTTCTGTATATTTTACAGTTTTATATAAGTGTTAAAACGTCTCATAGATGAAAGAAAAAACATATTTGAACCTATAATCGTTTTGACATATTTGACCCAGCAGAAATGTCAGAGTATTTCTGTTTGGGAGGCTTGGATCTAATCTTCATTCATAAAATGTTCTGCCAGACCTTGAAAAATACACTGTGCCTGATGTCTTCTGTTTGTTTATGCGTGTGCTGCTGCGTTAAAGTAAATATCTCAACATTTCATTATCCAACCTACGAGAAATAAAAGGGAGTGGTTTAATCCAGGAAGAAGCAATTTTAATTTAATATATTTTTTTTTATCTTACAAAGCAGGTTAGTCTGACCCAGATGCTTCTATGAATCATTTTAGTCACTTCAGATAAACTGAAAGCAATATACTATGGTTATTTCAGACCAAGAAGAAATCGTAATGGAATAAAATGTCAATGTAATTTGAATTCACCACCCACCACCCTTTCAGCTGTATTTGAGTATAATTATTGAAACTTAAACAGCTGAATGACGAGTGAATGAATCATTTTAGTAACTTTGGGTGTTATTCCATACTGTTTGGTGAATAGCAACAAGTTTTTTGTGCTTCTGAGTATTAAAGGTGATTTTATTTTGACTCGACCTAAGACAACATCTGCCCCTGCCTAACTATATATAACTATAATTTGTATCTTACAGAAAATTCTAGAACCATGCTGTGTGATGGAAAAGTGGCTATTTTGGGAAGAACATGAGACTAAAGCATATTAACTAAAACATTTTTTAAAGGCATTTAGTTGGGTGGGACAATATAGAAGAAACAGGCCAGTCCATGTATGAGAACTATGTGGAAATTAAAGTGAAGGGACCAAACTAAGTTCAGACTAAAACGTGTTTCAAAGTGGGTTACTGTGCCTTTAACCATGTCTAAACCAAGTAATTTTCTTTGGACACAACACAATCTATTTCAATTCTGGCTAGAAAGAGTCACTGGTCACATGTACGCACATGACAATACGGCTTTGTCTCCAAGATAGTCGGGAAGTACACTCTATATAATCTATACATTCTGATCCTTACAACATCATTTAGATGTGCCAACTTTTAAACCACAAACTTGTGTGGGTTTTAACCTCACTTGCCCTGAGTTTTTCCTGTCTTGACAGATGTCTGATATCTGTATTCAAAACATTTTTAAAAAGTTTGATACAAATGAAACAGCAACTTCCTGGGTAATCTTCCAAACAAATGTATGTAGGTTTTGAGGTTGTGTGACATTTACCTTGGCACATTTCTGGTAGACTGTGAAACTGATTATATATATAGCAATTAAATTTTGTCATATTCACCCATGAAAGAGAATGTTGACATGTCCCAAAATACTTACTTACTAAATTACCTGAATAAAGCGTAATATGAAAGTTAGGAAGGTTACTAATGTAACCATAATTCTATGAATCCTGGATGACCACTAGAGGGTGGTGCTGAAAGCACTGAATAATTCCTTGCACATCTGCAAATGAGCTCGTTCAGTGCACAGCCCTGTGACAGTCAGTATGGATAAAATAGAAGTGTAACTTTGTGATCTGATGACCGGTGTTGTTTCTCTACCACAAACATTGCTCCTGCAGCAGACACAGCCCAGGGAGCGACTGGACACATTTGACGATGTAATTCGAAGTTCACTTGAGGTAATAATAAAGGGGTTTTTATGGTCCAGCTTTGGCAGTACCCATCCCTTACTGTACAGTGTATACTCTGTGTATGTACTTGTAGTGTAGTAGTGGTAGTAGTAGCTTCACATGACAAATGTCCCAAATGACCTCGTTTGGGTCAAAGTTCATGGTAAGGCAAGTTGTTGTGCTGTGATGTTGGTTTGTGGTGATGTTTTCATGCCAAGTTGGACTCTTTCCTTATAGTAATAATGTATCTGTGCTTCTTGTAGTAAGGCATCATAATTCTTGATATTTCTACCATACTACTAACCTTTTATTATCACCCAACATTGCTTCATTTGCTTATTGATGTTATTGCAAAGTTCCAACCTGCACATATTGTGTATTGCAGCCATTCCCAAAGTGTGCGGAGCAATAAAGACGAGAATATAGACTTAATATTTAAAATATATACAGAGAATGTATGTATAGAGAATCAAAGTCAAATCTAATATTCACATCATTGGTGGCATCAGTAACACCAGTTAAAACCACACGGTGTTTGTAAGCTAATATTTGAAAGAAACTTAAGCCCCTATCATTATTTATGTGAGTGAATTATAAATGCTTTTAACCTGAACATGCCATTGTGTTCCTGGAAGCCGTGTTGTTGTTTGCAGTGCAGAGTGCATGCAGAATAAATCCAGATGTTTGAATTAACCACATTTCTTTGTCTTTATTTTATTTTTGTTGAATCCAGGACGATGACTTTGTGACCAGGGATGATTTTGAAGACGCGGATCAGTTGAGGATAGGAAACGACGGGATCTTCATGCTCACCTTTTTCAGTGAGTTGGACTGATGTTGTAGTAGGGTTGCAAGTTTAGAATTTTTACCAATATATATGAAGTAGTTATTTTATTTTACTGTGTATAAACAATCACTTTGTTAATTTTGTTACTTGATTAAAGCACTTGATAAAAACAACATTATAAAAACAGAAATGACTTAATATGGGCTCTTTAAAGGTGCGCTGTGTAACGTTTTGGGGGAGGGTCACTTGATTGTTTCTATGGATATGTCATTGTTCTGCCTGGAATGTTCCACAGTATGACATTAAACAGCTTTACATAGCATATTCAATTACAGATAGTTTTATGGCTTAAAAATACATAGAAAAACATTCATTCTGACTGTGAACAGGGTCGCCTCTCCACAGGTCTGACCTGTAACCTGGACTGGTTTGGTCTCCATGATGATAGAAAAGTTTAATGCCATACTGTGAAACATTCCAAACAAAGCAATAGCATTTCCACGGAGAAATTCACTTGACGGACCCTCCACCAGAAAAGTTACACCGTACACCTTTAAAGAGCCCATATTAAAAAATTTTTTGTTGTTATAATGTTGTTTCCTCATCGAAAAGCACATGTTTAACCCACAAATCCTGCGTTTGTGTTTTAGTTTTTCTCTCAAACACAAACTGGTCTGTTCCAGTTTGCAGTGTCATGTGGTAATACAGGAAGAACTCCCCTGTTTTTGTTGTTGTTTTGTTTTTGTTTTTTTTAATACTTCTACACCTTCTTTACAATCATATGGATGATTTTAGCCTTGGAATTGCAAATCTCTTCTGAACAAAAAGTAAAAGGTAGACACTAACTTGAAAACTACCGCTTCATGACATTACAAGGTACAGAGCATTTTGAGCTGTGGAGATGTAGACAGACTAATAATGCACGATTACTTAAATGATTGAAACAACTCCAGGTATTTTTTTGAGAAGATAACAGCATTACAACATGGCTTAAAGCTTTCAAGACTCAACTGTGTGTAATACAGGACCGTTAACTAACAAACATTAACTTAACTGCAAAGTCTGCAAAGTAATCTGCTCTTACCTGTAGAGCATAGGTTCCTAGATAAAAATGTGGAACGTTGCTTTTTTTATATTTATCACATATCTGTCTCTTTTACGTTATATGAAGTCAAAATCTTCAAATCAAATACCACTTGTTCTGAAAACAGTTTGATTCTCATTTTTCATAATGTAAATTAAAAGTTGTTTATGTTTACATTTTGTGTTTTTGGTTTTCAAGAAGATTATCTAAAGATTACATTGCCTTGCTTGCTTTTCCATTTGGCAGGTAACCCAACTTGATTTTTGTTGGATCCTGTGCTATTTTTAAAACATTGTCAGGAGGCTTTTCTTCATGGAGATAATGTTTCAGTATTAAACATTTCTAGCTTCATGGAGAGACCCTGTACAGGTAGAGCTGTTTAATGTCATACTGTGGAGTCGGTCAGAGCAGGAAACAAGCCCCCAACCAGAAAGTTACACAGTGCCCCTTTAAGAAATAATGCCACTTTGACTTGAATATAATCTATGAATGCAATCCTCTGATCGCTTTGAACTAAGAGTCTCAAAGCACGTCTCTTTATTCTAGACAGGAAACAGCTGATGTGAGTGCACTAGCTTTCACAACTTTTAGCTTTTAGTGTGCGGACTCTTAACTGCAGTCATTGTACTCAAAGGATCGTGCAAATTAAAATCTCTCTCTCCCTCGTGTCTGGTCTGCACTGTTTTTTCACGCATAAAAATCATTAAAGACTGAAAACTCCTGTAGTGTGTGGCGGGCTGAAGGGGAACTAAGCAGATCTATGCACAACTCCTACTGCTGTGTGTTGTTCTTAATGGTGCATTGTGCAACTTTTTTGTTGGAGGGTGCTTTTCTCCATGGAGATGTTATTACTTTGTCTGGAATGTTATATTAAACCTTTCTATATTCATGGAGACCAAACCAGGCCAAGTTACAGGTCAGATCTGTGGAGAAGTGACCCAGCTCAGTCAGAATGCCTGTTTTTCTATGTATTTTTGAGCTATAAAACCACATGTAATTAAATAAATGTTAAGCAGAGCTGTTTAATGTCATACTGTGGAACATTCCAGGTAGACTAATGACATATCCACAGACAGAATCAGGTGACGGACCTCTAGCAAAAAGTTGCACAGTGCACCTTTTAACTAAAGAATGCAATAAATGATTCAAACCAGTCTTTTTCTGTCTCACCTGTGGTTTAGTGGCCTTCCTGTTCAACTGGATCGGCTTCTTCCTGTCGTTCTGTCTGACCACTTCGGCGGCCGGTCGCTACGGCGCAATCTCCGGGTTTGGCCTGTCCCTCATCAAATGGATCCTCATCGTCAGGGTAACGTACCCAACTCTGCACATGTCCAGTAGTAGTGCTCTCAAATTTTTAGAAAGACTCTCTATTTTATTGCAACTCTTCAGACATGGTATATTTTATAACATTTTAATTTAATGTCCAAGTACATTGCCATTTGAGAAAAGATTAAACTGACGGGACTTCCATAGACATAAACTCCAGAAAATGGGTCTTGCTCAAATGAATTAATCAAATAAAATGAACTGTAAATGTCTTCATCAGATTAGATCATTACACTTAACCATGGAACTACAAGGCTCACAAACAACATGAAGCAGTGGAGATTTTTTTAGAGAACCTGCTACAGGTGCATTGTGGAGGGTCCATCACCTGCTTGTCTTTATGGAGATGTCATTGCTCTGCCTGGAATGTTTCACAGTATGACATTAAACAGCTCTACCTTATATTTATTAAATTACAGGTGGTTTTAGAGCTCAAAAATACAGAGAAAAGCAGGCATTTGTTTCCATTAATAAAGAAAGGTTTAATACCATACTGTGAAACATTCCAGACAAAGCTATAAATATCCATGGAGAAAAGCATTTGACGGACCCTCCACCAGAAAAGTTACACAATGCACCTTTTAAAGTAAGTAGTTAATTCTTGAAATGAAACTTTAACTTTGCGTCGGTGTGTTTTGCCCTTTCGCAGTTCTCCACATATTTCCCGGGGGTATTTCGATGGACAGTACTGGTTGTGGTGGGTCTTTCTGGTTATGGGTAAGTAGCCAAGATAATAAAAATATGTTCAAACACATTCCAAAAGAACACAGGGTAAAACAGAAACACATGCTATTATTATATGTAATCTTTTAGCAAATGTAATGCTCCTTTTAACTGTTGCTTCAATGGTTACTAACCAACCAGAAAACAAGGAAATCCCTCAGAACTTTCCACTGTGTCAGCCAAAGTATTTCTGCTTTTTGTATGGAGCATAGACTTTATTCTAAGTGTATGTTTTTAATATTGTAGATCTCCGTAAAATAATTGTAGTATTATTTCTTTTTACGACAAGGCTTGATTCACTATTAGAATGGAAATTTTACTTATGCTGTAGCCCAGTTTTTCCCATTAATATAGGAGAATATGAAGGCCCCGTAATAAAATTTTCTCCCACATAATCTAAAAACAAGCTGAATGGATTTGTACTACAACTTATCCTTTTTGTTACTTCACATTTTGACTTAATGCTTTCAAACTCTGTAGTCTATTGATAGGGCTGGCCAATATGCCAATTTTGATCTTTTTTATTTATTTATTTTTTTTATTTTGTTGTAGTGAAAAATGGCAGGGCAAGTTTATATGTATACCACAATTCCTACACAAAGTCATTCATAGTGCTGTACAAAATAAAAAATACATTAAAATACACAATACAAACAAATCAAAACATAAATAATCATAAAATTAAAAAGAGAGAGACATTAAATGAGAGAGAAGAGCGCAGAATGAAAACCTTTCAGTCATATGCACAACTAAACAGAACTGAACTGAAATGGCAATCAGAATTAACACAACAGTGCACTCGATAATCTTTTAAGGCAAGGCAAGTTTATATCTATAGCACAATTTGCACACAAAGTAATTCAAAGTAACATAAAAGTCAAAGTTCTTCCTCGTTAAAACCACATTTACTGCAGACCCAAACATGTTATTAATTAGAAATCTTGATCTTTGTTAAAACTTCATTAATTACAACATAAATTTGAATATTTTTATGCTCCCTTTTTAAAGCATAGATGTATATTGATGTGTTGCAAGTGCAAAGATGTAAAATAAAGTCACATACTCACTGTCAGTCTCACAATGCCCTTCTCATCTTTTTTCCAGGTTTCATGCTTTTCCTCCGAGGCTTCATCAACTACGCCCGGATCCGCAAAATGGCCGACTCCCTCTCCACGCTGCCCCGCACCCGAGTCCTGTTCATCTACTGATCTGAGAAATCTCCACACCATTTCTCTATGCCCCGCTATAACGGGACTCTCAATCTTTATTTAACAAAAGGGGGACTGCGTAAACGTAATACTTGGTCTATTCGTCAATCCGTACAATATTCATAACCCATTTTGATATAATATACTGACAAATATAAGTTTCTAATTATCATGTCAAGTGCTTTTGCAATTACATTCGGGAATTTTACAACGCCTTATTTTTTGTGCATAGCAGCTGCATGCCCCGTCGATTTTTATCACAGCCACCAGAGGGCAGTGTCACACCATGTTAAAATCTTTTCCCATTGCTCCGAGGTAAATTCATTTGTATAGATAGTTTATATATTGATTTATGCAATGTAATGTATGTCAGATTTTAACTCCACCGATCAAATGCTTTTTATTCTTTGTTAAATTAAACTGTTTATTTTTAGTCTGTGAAATGAATCAGGGGAATTGTGGCAGGAAAGGGGATTTCTGTGGTTAGGTATCCACTAAGCATTTTTCCACATGACTTTGACAACTGATTAATCAATAAATATTAAAACACTGTAGTGACGCTGCACAGAAAGGTGAGTCTACTGTAATTATCTTGATTGGGAAATTAAAATAAGCAGAAATCTAGAGGTGGTTGTGGTTGGGTAAATTAATGGTATTAAAATCACTGGTTTTTGTGTTTTTGTAGATGTCTGTGGATTAAACCTTAAGAGAGAATGTTTGTAATGATGGATTTTGTTAAAACGGTAAATTAAAATCAGTTGTTCACCATTACAGCTCTGGTGTTGTTTATTATGAAATATTTAAAGACAAAATTGCTGTTTTTCAATTATACATTTTTATTTAATTTGACACTCAAAAGTAGTTAAACAAATTCCATGCAGAGTTTTTTTTAAAAATTTGTCTCATACAAATAATCAGTCAGACACATCAATTAAAGGTGAATTATGTCACTTTTTCCACCTTGTTGCTTTGCCCCAGTATTACATTAAACATCTTATTTCTTCAGCCCTAATATTGTTCCAGTCACACACAACAACTTGACGTGAGGAGACAGTTGGCTCTTTTATGGGGCTGTGTTCATTTCCATGTTTTTGTGGTGTTTTAAAAACCTCTAGACTGGTGGTCACATGGGACAAAATAGTGAGGCATGTTTGTAGCTATGTGCTGATGGAGTATTTATGAAAACAGTAGCTTTGTAGCTTTTGTTGAGCCTGCCTGCTAACACTAGGTGAATTCCTTCATTTTACAGTTTTATACAGAGTAAAAAGCAAAGAATCGCTTGTTCAAATGGATAGTTAGAGCACATTTGACTATTAACAAGTATTTTAAAATTCACTTCATTATTTTTTAATTATTATTTATTATCTCAAATTACAAAAAAAATTAATTTATTTCTTATAAAAGCATTGACAATTTTGACAGAAAACATCGTTAATAACAACAGGGACAATCTACACTGACAGGGACATTTTTACAATTGACTTTGTTATTTTAAAGGTACATTGCACAACGTTTCTGGTGGAGGGTGCATCACCTGCTTACCTTGCCTATTAGTGGCACTGAGGACAATTGGTTGGGGGCCCCTCCAGGTTTGGGGGCCCTTGGCAGCCGCTTACTTTTGCCTAATGGTAGCACCACCTCTGATGTAGCCTATAGTTGTCTTCTTTGAGACTGATAGGTTGAATCTCAACAGTGGATCATTCTAGCAGTGGCGGAGTTAACAATTTGGGGGCCCTCACTATAATGCACTGTTTTGTTGTTTTGTTTAGTTTTTTGTATTTTTAAAAAAAATATATTTATTGTCTGTTTTTCCCCATTGTTCTTGAGACATGCACATCTCTATTAGAATTATGGTGAACTTGTCTTATTAGTTCGGTCACCTACTAGATAACCAGAGCTGAAAATAGTTTGATTTTTTTGCCAGTACTATTACATTTTTGTTTACATCCATTATGATTATGCTATGATTATGTTTAAATCAGGGTCAAGCTGACTAGTCCATTTTAATATGAAAGGGGGGAATGCTTTGACAGTTAAAATAGATTTGACAATCAGATACTAGTTTGATGTTTTTTTTGTTGTTGTTTTTTTTTTTTTAAAATGTCATATTGAGAGAAAATCTAATTGCTCTGAGTAGTCGGCCATTAGTGGTACACTGAGGGAAATTGGTTGGGGGCCCCTTCAGGTTCAGGGGCCCTGGGCGGCTGCCTGCTCTTGCCTAATGGTAGTGCCGCCTCTGCATTCTACACAAAGTAACAAACAGGTGACAGGCCCAGTTGTCTGACCCATTTCAAGCTTTAGAAATGTTTAACTTTTGTTCATCAGTTCCAGTAAAGTCTGTTCTGATGATAAGCAATTTGCTCCTGAGTAAAAAGTGTGACAGCCAACCCCGCTCTCCCCTTAACCTTTCACCTTTAGCACCTTTAACATGAACTCTGACCTCACCTCCCACTAATACAGCGTGTAGTGACCATCCTGTGCTATTATTGTATTATGATTATATTCAATGTCATTACTTGAATATCATTTTCCTTTGATTGGCGTCCTCAGCTGACTCATCTGTCCAGTGTCTTGTGTGTGTGCGTAATGTTTTTGTCCCTAAACCTCCGAGGCTCCTGTCCAGTCCCTGTGACGGAGCGGTGCAGTCCAGTCCCTGTGACGGAGCAGTGTATAATCAGGAGCAGACAGCAGTAACTCGCCTCATTTGTCTCCTCACGTGTGTCCAACGGCGAGTGCTGCTAAAATTACCGCCGCGCTCAACAACATGGCGGTGGCTGGACTTCCTCTGTGTGGTTGGAAATCCTGAACACAACAGTCAAAGGCTCCAACAAAACATGTTTTTAGATCCACGTTGGAGGATGTTCCCAAGGTCAGGTTTGAGAAGAGGTTTGGGACACAGAGCCTTGTGATGGAGAAGTAGTGTTTGTTAAATTAAAGCAGAAATCGGACACAAAATCACTGTTATGCTGGTATAATTTAATTCATTTTATTTCATGACAAAAAGAAAAAAGACAACATAACATTAGAAAGAGATGGGATACAGATTCAAAGAGTAAACGAAACCAAATTTTTAGGAGTTATGATTGATGAGGATCTAAACTGGAGGTCTCATATAAATTATACTAAAGGCAAAATTTCCAAAGCCATTGCTGTTCTGAATAAAGTAAAGTTCTCTCTCACTAGTGCAGCATTATTAACTTTGTATAACTCTATAATTGCACCAGATCTGATGTACGGTGTAGAAATTTGGGGGTCAACATGTAAAACTTACCTACAACCATTATTTATTTTACAAAAGGACTCGGAGAATTATCACCAACAGTCATTGTAGAGAGCCATCCAACCCATTATTTGTTCAACTTAAAAGTGTTGAAAATACATGATATTGTTGACTTAAGTTTCCTCAAAGTCATGCATAAAGCAAAGTGCAATGTATTACCAGTAAATATTCAAAGACTGTTTGAGATAAGAACAAGCTACTGCAATTTAAAAGGAACCTACATGTTTAAAAAAACCCAGATTTAGAACCAAGGTTATGGAACGAAGCAAAAGGAGTAAACTTATGGAATAGTCTTGACAAAGATATAAAAGAATGAAGCACAATGACGACATTTAAAAAACACATCAAATCAAATGCAAATGTGTATGTATGAAAAAGAAAACTAAGCTGTTGTGCACAAAAGTGAAGATTTCTATTTACAATTGATTAATAATTGTGCCTGAACTGAAATGTACTGATTTGAAATGTTTAGTAACCATTGGTGTTGATGTATTGTCTTGAAAAGGGAAAAGGGGGCAGATAACATAAGATGACTGTTCTTTCTGCTCCTTTTCATTCATTTCTTGTATGTTTGATGTTGTGACACTGTTGATGTCTTTTCATAATGTAATGCTAACTAGAGGTTCTGCTCTGTCTGAGGCTCTGTTAGGCTGCGTTCAGACTGCTGCCTGAAGTGACCCAAATCTGATTTTTTGCCCTCTATGTGACCTGTATCTGATCTTTTAATGACAGTCTGAACAACACAGATCCGATTTTTTCAAATGCAACCCAGGCCACTTGGATATGTGGTCCTGAAACTGATACATATCTGATCTTTACCCCCGCCAAGGAGGTTATGTTTTTGCTTGCGTTTGTCTGTTTGTTTGTTTGTTTGTCTGTTAGCAACATAACTCAAAAAGTTATGGACCGATTTTGATGAAATTTTCAGGATTTGTTGGAAATGTGAAAAGGAAGAACTGATTTCATTTTGGGGGTGATCCGGAAGAAATCCTGGATTCTTGATCACTTTGAAATTTTAGTTAACATTGTGGTAAATGGGGCCAAAAATTTTGTTTCTCAATATCTCGGTTAATTATTGACCAAACCCCATGAAATTTGACTCAGGGATGGACAATGGGATCCTCTTTCATATTCCAAAGGCTGATCCGGATCTGATCCAGAAGACTGATTTTATCAATTTAATAAAAAATGGGGGTAGTCCTTGGCGGAGGTCTGCGCTCTCTGAGTGTTTTTCTAGTTTGACATGTGACTTCAGTTTGAACGGCCAAAGCGCATTCATCCACCTACACGTTATCAACAAGCCACAAATGTCACTATTCTGTGCTGAAGTAGGTGAAAATTGTTAATGAACTCCGTGTCACTGAAGTGAAGCACATCACCACTCACCACTCTTGGCTACGTCTTTACATCCACACGTTCCTTTCAACAGACGTCGCTGACGCTGCCCCACAAAACACCACGGCCAAAAACCTCGTCCTTCTCCTTCTTAATCTCCTCCTTAAAACCAGTAAGTTGTTCATGTTCTTTCTCCGGTACGAGAGGAACTTTAAAATCTCCAGGTGCTCAATGCTCTCGTCCATGTTTGGACAACTTCGGTAAACACAGAGCACGCTCGCTGCGTTTGACGTCATCGTGTCTCCAGTGCACATGCGGGACACTTTCGGGCCGTTTAACATTCACACAGGGCATCACATACAAGTCGCATTTAATTGGAAATGTGAACGACCTTGCAAAAACATCGGATTTCACAAAATTGAAATTGAGCGTTAAGCCCTGCAGTCTGAACGTAGCCTTTAGACTTTAATCTAAGCTTTATTTTAATGCAGTCGAAGTTCAGTTGGTCACCTTTTGTCAGCTTTTTTCAACTTTTTTCAGCCAATCTTAAAATGTATTTTACAGTGTTTGCAAATCCGTGCATTGTTCCTCCATGGTAACTTCTGAACATTCCACCATAGAGATACATGTAGAACACCCCCAGCGTGATGTCATTGCAAAGAATGAATAAAACACATTAGCTCTTTGTGTATATTATAACCAGCTGGATTTAGCAAGGAAATGTGTTTTAGTTCTAAAGTTTGCTCTGAGTCAGTTTTATCATAATGTTTTTCTGTTCCTTTGGGTCGGTCCATGTTTAGAACCTTTATGGCGTGTTCCTATTTCCACAGGTTTAGCCCTGTTTAGACCTGATGTGGCCTCGCCCCGTTATAGACTTGGTTTATATCTGGTGGCACTTGGAAAGCTAAACATTTACCAAAGCGGTTCTTCTTGTCAACATTTTGAGAGCCACTAGCCAAAATGTTCCGCAGTATGGCATTGAACGCATTCAGTCACAGGACGGGTCTGTGGACATGCGAGCCCTCTCTCAATTTTGAATGTTTGCAAAGTTTTCTCCTCCCATTTTCAAGAGCTGTTGAAAATTCACACAAACGGTACAGGGCAGTCTCACACATGGTCAAAAGCATTTCTTATCAAAGACAATTAAATATTT